TATCCTAAATACATTATTTAAAAATACTCGGTTTGTTTTTCATGCAAAACACAATTCTTAAGGAAAAATGATTCATTCTCGGAAATACAACAAGTGTCATATTAGCAAAATAGCAGAATGTAATTATGCAATATGTTAAAAGAAGAGGTACCAATTATTTGAGTCAATGGCAACATTTCCTTAATATATATTGATATTGATATATTGATAATTATGCAAGTGAAATGTTTTTCCTAGTTTTTGTAAAAATGCATGCAAAGCTTGCATTTGCCATGACAAATTTGACTTTGCCCTGTTAAAATAGTATTTTACCTTGGAAAACTTCCTTTGCCAAGGCAACTATACTGACTTAATGAACGCCCAGAACGGCAAATTTGACAATATGCAAGTGATGTTTGTGTCATTAGAACTCGACAACGACTTTTATGTCGAAACAGAAGCGTTACGTTTTTGTTGTTGTTGTCGTTTTTGTTTTTTTCGTTTCCTTTTCATACAACTGAAAACAGCCTGCCAAAATAAAGTTTATGTTTCTTTCTTCCAATAAGGAAGACAAATTTGTCATCCCCTTTATTATAAATACAATAGTCATGTTTTTGGCTTTTGATATTATTGTGTTTCGTTTGTTATCGGAAGGATTGACTGATACATTTAAAGCAATTCTTTGTTTGCTACTACATGACGTGTACAAAACCAGTGTATTTCAAAATATTACTGATTTATCTGATCTCGGGATTTTCTCTGTAGCAACAAACTTACGCTTAATCACTTTTAAAGAGTTGTGCTGCTTCAATGGCACTTAATGTATAATCTAGACATTTCAATCGACCTACCTAAGTTCAATATTTATTCTAGGGGAAATCTTGTTTTCATTATTTAAGGTATGGCCATCGTTATGCATTATCTTTCCTTTGAAGAATTATTCAAATCGGCTAGAATTACGTACACTACATTGAAAATAAGGGCCTTTGTTCAAACCCTAGAAGGCTCAACTTGTTTCTTTCATTTTCTATACATTATTTATGTACATGTATCTCTCATAAACCATTTGAAAGAAAAAAGTGTTATCTTATAATTATATAACTGATATAGGAAATAAATCATTAGTCTCATTTACAATGTTGAAGCTTTACTGGTGGAGGAAGACCACTGGTGCCCGTCCTTGCATTATTTCAGTTACGAATTGGCACCTGAGTAGAGAAACCGACAATCCGTAAGGTAGCTGGATAGCTTTCTTTACAGAGAATGTTATGTTGTATAATTTTCATAACTTGTACACACACACACACACACACACACACACACACACACACACACACACACCCACGCACGCACGCTTACACAGACACACACACAAGTACATTGTTATAACAAAGTAATTGAAATAGCGTGTATACGTCATGTGATGTACAATTAAGAGAGAGAAAACAAAATACAGAGCAGCTTTTTTTAAATGAGAAAACAAAGTTCTATTTCTGGGGGTTAATGTGCTTTAAGCTGAGCATTCCTGTCCGATGCGTTCGGTGCTTTCAGCGCTTTGATCCAGTTTGCAGTGTGTATGATATTTTTGAATTGCTACGACTTCTACATCGTATTTCATGACAAGATTCTACACGTCTCATTACCTGCATATTGACCTGTTTAATTGCTCTTAATATATAACTCTAATTTAAGTGCGTGTGTTTTTGATACAACAGAGGCACTTAAAACTTTATGAGCCGCGTCACGACAAAACCAACATAATGGGTTTGCGACCAGCATGGATCCAGACCAGCCTGCGCATCCGCGCAGTCTGATCAGGATCCATGCTGTTCGCTTACAAATCCTAATACAAGTAGAAAAACTGATAGCGAACAACATTGATCCTGATCAGACTGCGCGGATGCGTAGGCTGGTCTGGATCCATGCTGGTCGCCAACGCATTACGTTGGTTTTGTCGTGACCTGGCTCATATCTGGTTTTCCAGAAAATTCTACATATTAAATATTAAGGGGATTAATGACGCTAAGAATTTCAGGTACCCTAAAAACAAAGATATCGATACAAATATCAAGTGAAAATCTTTCTTCGATTTACCAAAATGTTACGTGGGTTGAAGGTGTTAAAATTAAATTGCATAGCTTATTTGTTGACCATTGAAGTGATCATGTGCATAGGACTTTCCAAAACAGTTATAAATCAGAGCGGGCGCTGTGGTGCAGTGGTAACACTGACTGTCTACGAAACAAGGGGTCGCAAGTTCGATCCCCCGCTACTACTCGAAAAAATACTATACAAACATACATAACATGACAGAAGGAATAAGAACAATGAACATATCATATACTGAAAAACACATACTTGGACAGTCTTGACAGAAATACACATACATGAACAGTAGAAATACACATACATGAACAGTCTTAATAGTAATATACATACATGGACAGTCTAAACAGAAATACACATACATTGACATACATGAACAACCTTAACAGAAACACACAAACATGGACAGTCTTAACAGTAATACACATACATGGGCAGTATTAACAGAAATACACATACATGGACAGTCTAAACAGAAATACACATATATGGACAGTCTTGACAGAAATACATATACATGGCGTTCTTAAATACATGGACAGTCTTAACAGTAATACACATACATGAACAGTAGAAATACACATACATGAACAGTCTTAATAGTAATATACATACATGGACAGTCTAAACAGAAATACACATACATTTACATACATGAACAGCCTTAACAGAAATACACAAACATGGACAGTCTTAACAGAAATACAAATATATGGACAGTCTAAACAGAAATACATAAACATGGACAGTCTAAACAGAAATACACATATATGGACAGTCTTGACAGAAATACACATGCATGAACAGTCTTGACAGAAATACACATACATGGACAGTCTAAACAGAAATACACATACATGAACAGTCTTGACAGAAATACACATACATGAACAGTCTTGACAGAAATACACATACATGAACAGTCTTGACAGAAATACACATACATGGACAGTCTAAACAGAAATACACATACATGGACAGTCTTGACAGAAATACACATACATGAACAGTCTTGACAGAAATACACAAACATGGACAGTCTTAACAGAAATACACATACATGGACAGTCTTGACAGAAATACACATACATGGACAGTCTTGACAGAAATACACATACATGAACAGTCTTGACAGAAATACACATACATGAACAGTCTTGACAGAAATACACTTGCATGAACAGTCTTGACAGAAATACACATACATGGACAGTCTTGACATAAATACACATACATGAACAGTCTTGACATAAAAACACATACATGAACAGTCTTGACAGAAATACACATACATGGACAGTCTTGACAGAAATACACATACATGGACAGTCTTGACAGAAATACACATACATGAACAGTCTTGACAGAAATACACATACATGGACAGTCTTGACAGAAATACACATACATGGACAGTCTTGACAGAAATACACATACATGGACAGTCTTGACAGAAATACACATACATGAACAGTCTTGACAGAAATACACATACATGAACAGTCTTGACAGAAATACACATACATGAACAGTCTTGACAGAAATACACATACATGAACAGTAGAAATACACATACATGAACAGTCTTAACAGTAATACAAATACATGGATAGTCTTAACAGAAATACACATACATGGACAGTCTTAACAGAAATACATATACATGGCGTTCTTAACAGAAATACAGATACATGGACAGTCTTAACAGAAATACACATACATGGACAGTATTGACAGAAATACACATACATGAACATACTTAACAGAAATAAACATACATGAACAGACTAAACAAAAATACACATACATGGACAGTCTTGTGAAGGACAGACTACGGAAATGGACATGAAGGAAACGGGACTGGGCTTAAAAGTTTCCTTAATTAAATGACATACAAAACCATACGCAGACGTATGCGCAAGCAAATGGACATACAAAGTACACAAAACGGAAAAAGCACCGAAAAGCAAAACAAAACGGTAACACTAAACGGTTAAAGAAAAACACATAAAAACACTTTATACAAATATTTATAACATTTAATAAACATTTCACTTTCCCTATCCGATTATGTGGTTCCCAAACTTAAAAGCGCTGCGCATTTTGCACACGGCAAAGCTGGGGCCACATAATCGGATAGCTTCGTTCATAGCCGTCTGGTCCATTGAATTTATCGAAAGATTTTGTCGTTGAAAAAAAACGGCGATAATATTGATGTTTATTTCGGCTGTTGCGTTGTTTATATTACCGTTGAAGTTTAAAATTGACCATCATCGTGAAGAATTATATCTTCTGTGTCGATGGACCAAAGGATTATGTGAAAATATTGGAAATGGATTAAAATACATGGAGATTATGACGGTAGGGGTGCGGATTTTTTCCGGCGAAACATTTTTATCTTGTGTATTATTATAGTTGTTGAAAATATGATTTTTTTTTCAAAACGGCATATATTAAGATTTTTTGATATATATGATCAGTACATGTCCTGGGATTGACAAATATGCATTTTATTTGGATTTTAAAGGCGTTTTGAGCTCCAAACCCCGAGCGTCTGTGTTCATTTCTACAGTCATTCGCACTGTACCTCTGCTCTATAATGTACAGAAGTTTTAGTTCCTTGCGAAAGTGAATGCAACTAGTACTGGTAAACTGCTTTACAGCCTGCCCAGGAACGATGCGGTGGTTGAACTGTGCTCTGGTAAATTCAATGTGGCTAACTGCCGTGATCCGGAGTGAAAACTACCAACATCACTGCCACAACCACCATTTTTTGCTTGAGGGCGTATGTGGGGGAGGGGTGTATCTATTATTTACATTCAAAAACTATATAGATCAAGCTATACATATAAAGCTATTTTGGTAAGATTTTGTCTGATTTAAATACAATCAATGGCTGAATAAAAATAACAAAGTTGAAACCATTTTTCTAATCTTTATTTAAAGAATGTTGAAAATGAAAAGAATTTATATCCAAAGTCTTTCTTCTGGTCACAGTGCTCGGATGATGCTGGTATCTGAAATAAATAAATAAATAATAAATAAATAATGAAATAAATAATGAAATGAAATGAATGAATGAATGAATGAATGAATGAATGAATGAATGAATGAATGAAATGAAAAATGAATGAATGCATGAAATAATTGATGAAATGAAATGAAATGAATGAATGAATGACACTTTTTGTTCATGTATCAAATCAGCTACTGGAAAAAATGTTCAAAAGACATCAATCATAAGTGCGATAAGTACTTACGTTGTGTACGTCGAAGTGTAGATCACTCTTTTTGTATACATCCAAGATACCAAACAGGTCGTCATCATCGTCAACCATATCTTTGTATGTAATATATGTATCATCAATGTCTTTCCTAGCTTCTGTAACATCCACTTCATGTTGTTCTTGGAGAGCTATCGCTTCGATGTCTACAATATCGTCATCTGATTCTATAATTTCTACGATTTCATCATCTGATTCTATATTTAAAATACAATCTAGTGTGTCACTTTCTGACGTTTCATCAACTGCACCTTTTTCTTTACTCATTGAATCATCTGACTCTTTATCTAGAAAGTCACTAAACGTATCCGGGCCGATATCATCTAAAGTATCGCTGTCATTATCGGCTGCTCTATCTATAAATGTATCACATGAAATTGGACCTCTTTGATCTTTGTCAAGCACATCTCCAAACAAATTGCTGTTTTCTTCTGTGTTACCTTTATCTATAACTACAATTGCACTCGTCGATTCGCTTTCTGGTACATCCTCTAGTCGTTTGTCGTTTGTTCTCATCTCTTTAGTTGCTGATACAAATTCATCAAACATTTGTGTACCTCGTTTTGAGATTACAAAAATTTCATCCAGATATATATGCATATCGTCTTCAAGTGGAAAACCAGTTACATTCGATGGTCGAATCGGATTTGGTTTATAGACACCTGCTTCTTTTTCAAATGTAATCTGTAACATTTCCTCTTGATAAGCTTTACCTATGGCTTCAAATGAAGTTGTCCCCTCTGCATTAAAACGTGTTTCATTTAGCTTGTACAAATGTATGTTCATATTTGGCCCAACCTGGATTTGATTATCAAAACCTGATGTACACATTCCGGCAATTTCTTTATCATTCATAGGTTTTCCTTGTACGTCATTCTTAATGTCAGATGTTAAAACTGTCGCAATTATTGATTGAATACTTTCGTCAGCGGCTCCAATGTCTCTTTCGATATCTACTGATTTGCTTTTTTTCAAAGGTTTAGTGTCTGGTATTGTATCAATGCCAATCTTGTTTGCCTTTGGTGCCTGAGCCAAAAGATTGTCGAATAGCTTAGCCATCAGTCTATTAATCTCTTTCATACTTGGAATGTCTCTCATAAACTTTTCCCCACTTTCATCTACAATCTTCTCAATATCTTCACTTTCACTTGCTTTTAGGTCTTTACCTTTGTTTCTCCTCTGCTGACGAGCGTCTGTGAACTTTCTGGTGGCATATTTCACTGAAGTTTTCAACTCCTTACCATTCTTCATACCAAACTTCTCTATAAATATTCCACATCCGTTCCCTATACCAATGTGTAATACTGCTTTGTCGAACGTGGCACTGATTGGAATGATGACGTCATCATTGTTTGGACTAATGAGGATATCTGTAACAATTTGTAAAATAAAGTCAAATATAGATTGGCGTATATTTATCGATTTAACACGAATTATAGATGTTTCCGGTGTTGCCCTAAACAGAGAAGTACTTCTTAAAGTTATATGCAGTTAAATATAGAGGACTGATATGGGAATTGATTCTTTCAGATAAAGCATAGAATTGTATGAAAATTGAAGGTGGACTGTAAAAAGAGAAACAATGTATTAGTGATTTCAATATATATCATGAAATGAACGCGGGCTGTATATGTTTTGATATATACAAAGAAATGAACACCGAATGTATAAATTATGCCACAATTATTATCAATATCCAATAATGAACGCCAGCATTGTTTCTAAATATACCTATTGGATATGGACGCGGATTGTATCAGAGGGCCCATGATATATACCCACGAATGAATGCGGACCGAATAAGAGTGCATAGCCGTAAATCAAGCGTGCGTACTTGAATATGAAAACATTTTTTAAGATATTTTTTTGTACATGGAAGAAAATAAAAATGTACTTTCTGAAATGGCACATACCATTTAAATTTGGGTTTGCTAAAAATTAAAAAAACCCCTTACTTTAAAATAGCAGCAAAATATTTGGGTTTTGTGGGGCCCTTTTTAAATTCTAGTTAACGTACAATTTAAGAATTAATTGAAAAAAAAAGTTCATGAAAATTTATGTGACAAATCATTCCCAAGAATCAATCGAACATTCGATTTTGAAACAACATAATTTTAGCTGTTTTCATAGATCTTTATATCAATTTTATATTTAAAGATTATTTATTAGATTAGGTACTGTGTCGCAATTATACTCTTAAAAATTTTAGTGCTAATTTCATAAAAATCTCTCCTCAAAGATTTCGGTTAGATTTAAATTATATTATTATATGGGCAATTTTCAAATTTTGTGTATGGACTATCGCAATAGAAATCCCTTCAAGCACTTTTCCATATTAGTAGAACTTTAAATGATTATTATCCCCCCCCCCCCCCCCCCCCCCAAAAAAAAAAAAAAAATAAAATAAAAAAAATTAAAAACGAAGAAGTAAAAATCTCATAGAGTTTCTCTTTTTTGATAATCATAATAAAGATAATTCAAATAATAATAGAAAATCTACCTTTAAATGTGCTATTCGCTACAGGTCGGTTGTCATATGCCGAGATTTCTTCCATTTTGTAGGTATTTGGTCTCTTATTAACTTTAAATAGCTAATTTATTCGTCTGCACTGTAAGTGTGCGACATTTCAGTTGCTGTAACTACGTTCTGTTGGTTACGTCACAATCAAGTAATGCGCCGTCCAATCATATTGCAGCATTATTGGACGTCATGACGTCTTTCCGCAACAGACGTTATTTCGCCAAGCGGTGAATCAGTAAACATTACATTTTCACATGTACTTTGACACAGAATACTTAAATTAGATTTACACTTGTAAAGTATTGGTGTCAGTTTGGGAAAAGATGACTCTACTTTGGAAAAAAATAATTTAGTCAAACATTTAACCTTTCATTTAGCGTAAATCTATATCGAAGCATGGGAACAAGAACATGTTGTTTTTCATTTTCTATTAATTTAAACAATATCGGATCGTCACATACAAATAAATAAATAAATAAAATAAATAAATAAATAAATAAATAAATAAATAAATAAATAAATAAATAAATAAAAAAAAAATAATGAATAAATAAATAAACAAATAAATAAATAAAACAATAAATAAATAAAAGAACAATAAATAAATAAATTAATTAAAATAGAATTTGAAAAAATTAAATAGATAAACAATAAATAAATAAATAAATAATGAATAAATAAATAAATGAATGAACGAACGAATGAATGAATAAATGAAAAAAATAATAAATAATTGAAAAAAATAATAAATAATAGATTAATTAATTAATTTAACAAAAACAAAAAATAAATAAATAAATAAAAAAAAAATAATAATAAAAAAAAAATAAAAAGATTCTTATGGGACCTTTCACATTCCATAACCTCTATTTTGTCCCATAATATACTTAATGTCTGAATCTTGGTATATGTTTTTACGTGTCGTATGAACTCTTCAAGACAAATCTCTTATTCAGGACAATTTACAAAAGCATTAAAAGTATTTTACACATTTGGATAAAGTTTAAAATACCGGGTACATGGTGCTTTTTCACACAATTTTTTTTTTCAAGTAAAAACAAAGATATCGATAAATTAAAATATTACGTGTATCAGCAAGTCATGTGGGTTGGTCACCAAGATTGAGGATTAACAGCCCAAATATATATTGACAATCTTAATGGTAAAACACATGATTTAACTTAACAAAAGTACACATACATGGACAGTCTTAATGGAAATACACAGAAATACACATAGATGGAAAGAATTAACAGAAATACACATACATTCACAGTCTAAACGGAAATACACTGAAATACATACATACTTAAAAGAAATACACATACACGACCAGACTTAACGGAAATGCACAACAATGCACATACACATATATGGACAAACTGAACAGACATTCACAGACATAGACAGTCTGAATGGAAATACACAGAAATTCACATGCAGACTTAACAGAAATACACATACATTGACAGACTGAACAGAAATACGCACACATGGACAGACTGAACAGAAACACACATACATGGACAGACTAAACATAAATACACATACATGAATAGACTAAACAGAAATACGCATATATGGACCGACTAAACAGAAATACACATAGATGGAAAGACTAAACAGAAATACATATACATGGACAGACTAAATATAAATACACATACATGGACCGACTAAATACAAATACACATACATTGACCTACTAAACAGAAATACACATACATGGACAGACTAAACATAAATACACATACATGGACAGGCATTACAGAAATACACATACATGGACAGACTTAACAGAAATACACATACATGGACAGACTAAACAGAAATACACATACATGGACAGACTAAACAGAAATAGGCGTACATGGGGAGACTAAACAGAAATATATATACATGGACAGACTTAACAAAAATACACATACATGGACAGACTAAACAGAAATATAAATACATGGACAGACTAAACAGAAATACACATACATGGACACACTAAACAAAAACACATATACATGGACAGACTAAACAGAAATACACATACATGAAAGTCTTAATGGAAATACACATACATGGACAGACTAAACATAAATACACATACATAGACAGACTAAAGAGAAATACACATACATGAACAGACTAAACATAAATACACGTACATGGACAAACGTAACATAAATACACATACATGGATAGACTAAACAGAAATACATATACATGGACAGTATTAACAGAAGTACACATACATGGACAGACTAAACAGAAATACACATACATGGACAGACTAAACAGAAATAGGCGTACATGGCGAGACTTAACAGAAATATATATACATGGACAAACTAAACAGAAATACACATACATGGACAGACTAAACAGAAATATACATACATGGACAGACTAAACAGAAATACACATACATGGACAGACTAAACAAAAACACACATACATGGACAGACTAAACAGAAATACACATACATGGACAGTCTTAATGGAAATACACATACATGGACAGACTAAACAGAAACACACAAACATGGACATACTAAACAGAAATACACATACATGGACAGACCCTTAACAGAAAACACACACACATGAACAGACTTAAAAAAGAAATACAAATACATGGACAGACTAAACAGAAAAACACACATACTATGGACAGAGTTAACAAGAAATACACATACATGGACAGACTAAACAGAAATACACATACATGGACTGACTAAACAGAAATACACAGACATGGCCAGACTAAACATAAAATACACATACATGGACTGACTAAACATAAATACACATACATGGCCAGACTAAACAGAAATACACAGACATGGACAGACTAAACAGAAATACACATACATGGACAGACAATACAGAAATACACATACATGGACTGACTAAACAGAAATACAAATACATGGACAGACAATACAGAAATACACATACATGGACAGACTAAAGAGAAATACAATAACATGGACAGACTAAACAGAAATACACATACATAGACAGACTGAATAGAAATACACATACATGGACAGACTAAACAGAAATACACATACATGGACAGACTAAACAGAAATACACATACATGGACAGACTAAACAGAAACACACACATGAACAGACTTAAAAAAAAATACAAATTCATGGACAGACTTAACAGTTATACACATACATGGACAGACTAAACAGATATAAACATGCATGGATAGACTTAACAGAAATACACATACATGGACATACTTAACAAAAATACACATACATGGACAGACTAAACAGAAATACACATACATGGACAGACAATACAGAAATACACATACATGGACAGACTAAACAGAAATACACATACATGGACCGACTAAACAGAAATACACTTACATGGACTGACTAAACAGAAATACACATACATGGACAGACTTAACAGAAATACACATACGGCGAATCAGTAAACATTATATTTTCACATGTACTTTGACACAGAATACTTAAATTAGATTTACACTTGTAAAGTATTGGTGTCAGTTTTGGAAAAGATGACTCTACTTTGGAAAAAAATAATTTAGTCAAACATTTAACCTTTCATTGAGCGTAAATCTATATCGAAGCAAGGGAACAAGAACATGCTGTTTTTCATTTTCTATTAATTTAAACAATATCGGATCGTCACATACAAATAAATAAATAAATAAATAGATAAATAAATAAATAAATAAATAAAAATAAATAATGACTAAATAAAAAGAAAACAAATAAATAAATAAAACAATAAATAAATAAAAGAACAATAAATAAATTAATTAATTAAAATAGAATTAAAAAAAATTAAATAGATAAACAATGAATAAATAAATAAATAAATAAATAAAAAAATAAATAAATAAATAAATAAATGAATGAATAAATGAAAAAATGAATAAATGATTAAAAAAATAATAAATAATAAATTAATTAATTAATTAAAAAAAAAATTAAAAAAAAAAATAAATAAATAAAAAAAAAAAAAAGATTCTTATGGGACCTTTCACATTCCATAACCTCTATTTTGTCTCATAATATACTTAATGTCTGAATCTTGGTATATGTTTTTACGTGTCGTATAAACTCTTCAAGACAAATCTCTTATTCAGGACAATTTACAAAAGCATTAAAAGTATTTTACACATTTGGATAAAGTTTAAAATACCGGATACCCTGTGCTTTTTCACACAATTTTTTTTTTCAAGTAAAAACAAAGATATCGATAAATTAAGATATTACGTGTATCAGCAAGTCATGTGGGTTGGTCACCAAGATTGAGGTGTTAAAATTTAATTACATCCAGTGAATTGATAATGTATATAGGACTTTCCAAAACAGTTATAATTCAGAGCGGGCGCTGTGGTGCAACTTGGTAACACTGATTGTCTACGGATAAAGGGGTAGCAAAATTCTGGAAGTTCAATCCCCGCTACTCCACTAAAAAGACTGAACATAGATTAAGCTTTAGAGACTGAAAGAATAAAAACACACAAATAACACACGCACACGCACGCGCACGCGCGCGCACACACACACATTTAACGCAACAGCATATAAAACAATGTAATGGAAATACACAGAGATATACATACAAGGACATACTATACACAGGCATACATTACCGTACTAAACACATAAAAACTGAAATATACATACATGGGCAGACTATATACAGAAATACACATGCATGGACAGACTATATACAAAAATACACATACATGAACAGACAATACACAAAACAACACATACATGACCAGAATTAACAGCCCACATATACATTGACAATATTAACGGTAAACACATGATTTAACTTAACAAAAGTACACATACATGGACATTCTTAATGGAAATACTTATGCATGGACAGTCTTAATGGAAATACACAGAAATACACATAGATGGACAGAATTAACAAAAATACACATACATGCACATTCTAAACGGAAATACATTGAAATACATACATACTTAAAAGAAATACACATACATGGACCGACTAAACGGAAATGCACAACAATGCACATACACATACAATACAAAAATACACATACATGGACAGACTGAACAGAAATACACATACATGGACCGACTAAACAGAAATACACATATATGGACAGACTAAACAGAAATACACATACATGGACAGTCTTAACGGAAAAACACATACATGGACAGTTTAAACATAAATACATATACATGGACAGTCTTAACGGAAATACACATACATGGACAGACTAAACAGAAATACACATATATGGACAGACTAAACAGAAATACACATACATGGACCGACTAAACAGAAATACACATACATGACAGTGCCTTAACATAAATACACATACATGGACCCGACTAAACAAGAAATACACATACATGGATAGACTAAAACAGAAATACACATACATGGACCGACTGGAAACAGAAATACACATACATGGACAGAGACTGAACAGAAATACACATACATGGACCGACTAAACAGAAATACACATATATCGACAGACTAAACAGAAAATACACATACATGGACAGTCTTAACGGAGATACACATACATGGACAGACTAAACAGAAATACACTACATGGACAGACTGAACAAAAATACACATACATGGACCGACTTAAACAGAAATACAATATATGGACAGACTAAACAGAAAATACACATACATGGGACAGACTAAACAGAAAATACACATACATGGACCGACTAAACAGAAATACACATACATGGGACAGACTGAACAAAGAAAATACACATACATGGACCGACTAAACAGAAATACACATATATGGACAGACTAAACAGAAATACACATATATGGACAGACTAAACAGAAAATACACATACATGGACAGTCTTAACGGAAAACACATACAAGGACAGTTTAAACATAAATAACACATACATGGACAGTCTTAACGGAAATACACATACATGGACCGGGACTAAACAGAAATACACATACATGGACAGACTAAAACAGAAATACACATACATGGACAGACTGAACAGAAATACACATACATGGACAGACTAAACAGAAAATACACATACATGGACAGACTAAACAGAAATACACATACATGGACAGACTAAACAGAAATACACATACATAGACAGTCTTAACATAAATACACATACATGGACCGACTAAACAGAAATACACATATATGGACAGACTAAACAGAAAAACAGATACATGGACCGATCTAAACAGAAATACACATACATGGACCGACTAAACAGAAATACACATATTTATGGACAGACTAAACATAAATACACATACATGGACAGACTGAACAGAAATACATATACATGACCGACTAAACAGAAATACACATACATGGACAGACTAAACCAGAAAAACAGATAACATTGGGGACCGGGGGGGACTAAACAGAAAAACACATACATGGACCGACTATACCAGAAATACACATACATGGAACAGACTAAACAGAAATACACATACATGGACAGACTAAACAGAAAAACAGATACATGGACAGGAACTAAACAGAAAATACACATACATGGATAGACTATACAGAAATACACATACATGGACAGACTAAACAGAAATACACATACATGGACAGACTAAACAGAAATACACACATACATGGACAGACTAAACAGAAATACACATACATGGACAGACTAAACAGAAATACACATACATGGACAGACTAAACAGAAATACATATACATGGACAGACAATATAGAAATACACATACATAGACAGACTAAACAGAAATACACATACATGGACAGACTAAACAGAAATACACATACATGGACAGACTAAACAGAAAAAACAGATACATGGACAGGGGACTAAACAGAAATACATATACATAGACCGACTAAACAGAAAAACGGAATACATGGACCGACTAAACAAAATACACATACATGGACAGACTGAACAGAAATACAACATACATGGACCGACTATACATGAAATACACTACATGGACCGACTAAAACAGAAATACACATACATGGACAGACTGAACAGAAATACACATATCATGGACCGACTATACAGAAATACACATAAATGGACCGAACTAAACAGAAATACACATACATGGACAGACTGAACAGAAATACACATACATGGACCGACTATACAGAAATACACATACATGGACCGACTAAACAGAAATACACATACATGGACAGACTAAACAGAAATACACATACATGGACAGACTGAACAGAAATACACATACATGGACAGACTAAACAGAAATACACATACATGGACAGACTAAACAGAAATACACATACATGGACAGACTAAACAGAAAAACATGTACATGGACAGACTATACAGAAATACACATACATGGCCAAGGGAATACAAGAATATGTCTACATATAATTCAACGGAACTGGACATACAATGTGACTTGGATATGCACATATAAAACGATGATTTAAAAGAATAGTAATTGTATGTGTCAAAGGAAATCCACTATGGCCCATAAGCTTAAAACATAAATATTTGAATTTCTTACATAGATCAGCTGAGGGATTTAAAACAGAAATATGCATATATATGAAAAAGGTAATTAAGAAATTTATTCAGGAATAAATTGAAAATTGTATTGTTTGTGCTATTCTTAGCCAGATTTTAGTAAAAACCAATGCAACGTTTTACAGTTTGGAATCATTTTTCTCATTTTGAATCATTACTTTGGAAAAAAAGGAGTGAGCGAGTGATCTGAAAATAACACAAAATAACTAGACCTACATCAAATTAAACATTTATCACGAAACAATTGTCTACTTGCGATGTCTAACAATTCCCTAAACAAATTTAATTGGACTAAATAGCATATTCTTATAAAAAAAATTATGGGGCATGCCCCCAGATCCCTCTGAAATGTTGCCTGCGCATGAATATAAACCCAATTACGTCTCTGCCGTATGAAGTGGGTTGAAGTTTATTTAAACTAGTTAGTTTACTAAGTTGATTTAAGTTTAATAGGAAATCGAACGGATACACGGATTTCGTTGATTACGATTTTGTCAGTTTAATCAATGGTTATTATAAAAGGGAGGTAAAAGAAATTTACAAAACACTAAATTTTAGTACTTTAATTTGATAAAACATTAAAACAATATAAATTATAGAAAATATGAAATAATGTTCAATTAATCATAGCAAATTCTGATGATATTTTGTACTTGATAAGCCTGATTTATTTACATTATTAAGATTTGATATATACCATAATTTATCCTCACTCTTCAGTAGAACCACCGATCAATAAACGTCTATTGACGGTATTTCTTTTGACTCGTTCACAAAATTGGCAACAAATTTGATGGATGGGAAAATTTATAAATTCAGTTTGTTTCATATATCACTGCCACTTTGCGTGATCGTGCATTACTTGCAAAGCTCAAACTCATGCCGAATGTTTGTGTTACAAAATCAAGTGTCCTTTGCTCAATTCCTATTAACAGTGATAATTCCTCATTAGAGCATGAAGGGGACTTTATATTCGAGTTCTAGTAAAGATAAATTGTCAGTCAAAACCGCCATTATAGGATCCCTTTAAATCAATTATGTATGTAGCCTATAAAAAGAGACCAATAATTTCTTGAAAAAGCCGTCCGGTCATCGGGACCCACGTTTGATTTCTGGACGGCGCAGGTCACTTTCGTTGTTGTTGATCGTGCATTCATTTCTACAGTCATTCGCACTGTACCTCTGCTCTGGTATGTACAGAAGTTTTAGTTCCTTGTGAAAGTGAATGCAACTAGTACTGGTAAACTGCTTTACAGCCTGCCCAGAAACGATGCGGTGGTTGAACTGTGCTCTGGTAAATTCAATATGGCTAACTGCCGTGATCTGGAGTGAAAACTACTAACACCACTGCCAGAACCACCATATTTTTCTTGAGGGTGTATGTTTGTTTGTTTGTTTGTTTCATTTTACGCCTTTTCCCAACAGTATTTCAGTCATATAGGCGGGTAGATTCCTAACCATCGTTCCTGGAAAGCTACACCAGTACTAGACTACCTTTCTCCGTGCTAAACTACCAAAGCATCTCCCGGGGATCGAACACACGCCAGAGAGGTAACTGGATTAGAAGTCATCGACTCTAACCCCTCAAACACGGAGGCTGTCTTTAAGGGTGTATGTTGGGGAGGGGTGTATCTATTATTTACATTCAAAAACTATATAGATCGAGCTATACATATAAAGATATTTTGGACAGATTTTGTCTGATTTAGATACAATCTATGGCTGAATAAAAATAATAAAGTTGAAACCCATGTTCCTAATCTTTATTTCAAGAATGTTGAAAATGAAAATAATTTATATCCAAAGTCTTTCTTCTAGTCACAGTGCTCGGCTGATGCTGGTATCTGAAATAATTGTATAGAGAGATAGATAAATAAATATAAAAAGTCGAATCTTGGTTTAATCAGCATCGGGAACCGCCCGAAAAAATATGGAGATAAGGAAATGTAAAGAAATAAAAAAAATAAAGGTGTGAATAAGGAATAAAAATAGAAAATAAATTTTTAAAAAAAGACAGTGGAATAATTAATGTATATTAAAACCTAGATATATTAATATAGTAAAAAGGATTGTTTGGAAATGTTGGAATATGGTAAGTTTTAATTTAATTATAAATAAAATGAATGAAATGAATGAAATGAATGAAATAAAAAGGAATAATAAAATTTTAATGAAAATGAATAAATGAATGGATAAGATGAAAATGGAATGAATAATATGAAATAATTGACAATGAATAAATGGATTTGAAAATGAATGAACACTGTCCAGTCAGTCAACTAAAAGGTTAAATAGGCTCTATTAAAATTAAAAAATTGATATTCGTACACTTTTTGTTCCGTGTATCAAATCATGGGGTTCAAAGCATTTAAAAAATTATATTTAATTTAAAAAACATCAATGATTTTTAAGGGGCTTTCAAAAGTTATTACCCGTTTTTGTAAGTCGAAGTGTAGATCCTCTTAATGTAGATGCTCATAATACCAAAACAGGTTTATTATAAAACGGCATCAACAACCATTTCAGGCTTTGGTAATGAAATTAATTAGTTATCTTCAAGGGGCCATGCCTTTTGGCTCTTGTTTTTTATTTTCAAATTATATCCCTTTTTTCCTTGGGGAAGAGGCTTAAAATCGCTTCATTCTGGCCAAAAAATAAACATTTCCTTTCTATTTTTCTTTTGTTCTACCGGATTTAATCATACTCTGTTTTTCTATTTTTATTTAAGTTTTTTTACTATCTTTTTGTTTTGTCAATCTTTCTGACGTTTCATCAACTGCACCTTTTTCTTTACTCATTGAATCATCTGACTCTTTATCTAGAAAGTCACCAAACGTATCCGGGCCGATATCATCTAAAGTATCGCTGTCATTATCGGCTGCTCTATCTATAAATGTATCACATGGAATTGGACCTCTTTGATCTTTGTCAAACACATCTCCTAAGAAATTGCTGTCTTCATCTGTGTTACCTGTATCTATATCTACAAATGCACTCGTCGGTTTGCTTTCTGGTACATCCTCTAGTTGTTTGTCTTTTGTTCTCATCTCTTTAGTTGCTGATACAAATTCATCAAACATTTGTGTGCCTCGTTTTGAGATTACAAAAATTTCATCCAGATAAATATGCATATCGTCTTCAAGTGGAAAACCAGTTTCATTCGAAGGTCGAATGTGATTTGGTTTAGAGACACCTGCCTCTTTTTCAAATGTAATCTGTAACATTTCCTCTTGATAAGCTTTACCTATGTCTTCAAATGAAGTTGTCCCCTCTGCATTAAGACGTGTTTCATTTAGCTTGTACAAATGAGTGTTTATATTTGGCCCAACCAGGATTTGATTATCAAAACTTGGTGCAGTAATTCGAGCAATTTCCTTATCATTCATATGTTTTCCATGTACGTCATTCTTCATGTCAGATGTTAAAACTGTCCCAATTATTGATTGAATACTTTCATCAGTGGCACCAATGTCGCTTTCGGTATCTACAGATTTGCTTTCTTTCAGAGGTTTAGTGTCTGATATTGTATCAATACCACTTTTGTTTTCCGTTGGTGCCTGAGCCAAAAGATGGTCGAATAGCCAAGCCATCTGTCTATCACCTTTTTCTTTACTCATTGAATCATCTGACTCTTTGTCTAGAAAGTCACCAAACGTATCCGGGCCGATATCATCTAAAGTATCGCTGTCGTAATCGGCTGCTCTATCTACAAATGTATCACATGAAATTGGACCAAGCACAACTCCAAACAAATTGCTGTTTTCTTCTGTGTTACCTTTATCTATATCTACAATTGCACTCGTCGATTCGCTTTCTGGTACATCCTCTAGTCGTTTGTCGTTTGTTCTCATCTCTTTAGTTGCTGATACAAATTCATCAAACATTTGTGTGCCTCGTTTTGAGATTACAAAAATTTCATCCAGATATATATGCATATCGTCTTCAAGTGGAAAACCAGTTTCATTCGATGGTCGAATGTGATTTGGTTTATAGACACCTGCCTCTTTTTCAAATGAAATCTGTAACATTTCCTCTTGATAAGCTTTATCTATGGCTTCAAATGAAGTTGTCCCCTCTGCATTAAAACGTGTTTCATTTAGCTTGTAGAAATGGATGTTCATATTTGGCCCAACCAGGATTTGATTATCAAAACTTGGTGCAGTAATTCGAGCAATTTCTTTATCATTCATAGGTTTTCCCTGTACGTCATTCCTTATGTCAGATGTTAAAACTGTCCCAATTATTGATTGAATACTTTCATCAGTGACACTAATGTCGCTTTCGGTATCTACAGATTTGCTTTCTTTCAGAGGTTTAGTGTCTGATATTGTATCAATACCACTTTTGTTTTCCGTTGGTGCCTGAGCCAAAAGATGGTCGAATAGCCAAGCCATCTGTCTATCACCTTTTTCTTTACTCATTGAATCATCTGACTCTTTGTCTAGAAAGTCACCAAACGTATCCGGGCCGATATCATCTAAAGTATCGCTGTCGTTATCGGCTGCTCTATCTACAAATGTATCACATGAAATTGGACCAAGCACAACTCCAAACAAATTGCTGTTTTCTTCTGTGTTACCTTTATCTATATCTACAATTGCACTCGTCGATTCGCTTTCTGGTACATCCTCTAGTCGTTTGTCGTTTGTTCTCATCTCTTTAGTTGCTGATACAAATTCATCAAACATTTGTGTGCCTCGTTTTGAGATTACAAAAATTTCATCCAGATATATATGCATATCGTCTTCAAGTGGAAAACCAGTTTCATTCGAAGGTCGAATGTGATTTGGTTTAGAGACACCTGCCTCTTTTTCAAATGTAATCTGTAACATTTCCTCTTGATAAGCTTTACCTATGTCTTCAAATGAAGTTGTCCCCTCTGCATTAAAACGTGTTTCATTTAGCTTGTACAAATGAGTGTTCATATTTGGCCCAACCAGGATTTGATTATCAAAACTTGGTGCAGTAATTCGAGCAATTTCTTTATCATTCATAGGTTTTCCATGTACGTCATTCCACATGTCAGATGTTAAAACTGTCCCAATTATTGTTTGAATACTTTCATCAGTGACACTTATGTCGCTTTCGGTATCTACAGATTTGCTTTCTTTCAGAGGTTTAGTGTCTGATATTGTATCAATACCACTCTTGTTTTCCGTTGGTGCCTGAACCAAAAGATGGTCGAATAGCCAAGCCATCTGTCTGTCACCCTTTTCTTTACTCATTGAATCATCTGACTCTTTGTCTAGAAAGTCACCAAACGTATCCGGGCCGATATCATCTAAAGTATCGCTGTCGTTATCGGCTGCTCTATCTACAAATGTATCACATGAAATTGGACCAAGCACAACTCCAAACAAATTGCTGTTTTCTTCTGTGTTACCTTTATCTATATCTACAATTGCACTCGTCGATTCGCTTCCTGGTACATCCTCTGGTCGTTTGTCGTTTGTTCTCATCTCTTTAGTTGCTGATACAAATTCATCAAACATTTGTGTGCCTCGTTTTGAGATTACAAAAATTTCATCCAGATAAATATGCATATCGTCTTCAAGTGGAAAACCAGTTTCATTCGAAGGTCGAATGTGATTTGGTTTATATGCACCTGCCTCTTTTTCAAATGAAATCTGTAACATTTCCTCTTGATAAGCTTTATCTATGGCTTCAAATGAAGTTGTCCTCTCTGCATTAAAACGTGTTTCATTTAGCTTGTAGAAATGGATGTTCATATTTGGCCCAACCAGGATTTGATTATCAAAACTTGGTGCAGTAATTCGAGCAATTTCCTTATCATTCATATGTTTTCCATGTACGTCATTCTTTATGTCAGATGTTAAAACTGTCCCAATTATTGATTGAATACTTTCATCAGTGGCACCAATGTCGCTTTCGGTATCTACAGATTTGCTTTCTTTCAGAGGTTTAGTGTCTGATATTGTATCAATACCACTTTTGTTTTCCGTTGGTGCCTGAGCCAAAAGATGGTCAAATAGCCTAGCCATCTGTCTATCTTTCTTTTTCATACTTGGAATGTCTCTCATAAACTTTTCACCACTTTCATCTACAATCTTCTCAATATCTTCACTTTTGCTTGCCTTTCGGTCTTTACCTTTGTTTCTCCTTTGCTGACGAGCGTCTGTGAACTTTCGGGTGGCATATTTCACTGAAGTTTTCAACTCCTTACCATTCTTCATACCAAACTTTTCTATAAATATACCACATCCGTTCCCTATACCAATGTGTAATACGGCTTTGTCGAACGTCGTACTGATTGGAATGATGACGTCATCATTGTTAGGACTAATGAGGATATCTGTAACAAAAAAAACATTGAAAAAAAATTGAAAAATAATGTCAAAAAAAATATATTGATGTATTTTGAAATTTCTGATTTTTTTAACACGAACATTGACGACGGATTATAACTGTTGTCCGGTGTTTCTCTGGAGTAGAGGTATACCTTATAACGTTTACACCATCACCATATACTTATTACGTTGTCTCTATTATTTTTAGCGCGAAATTGGTAACGATGGATTGAGTTATCAAGATGAAGAAGTGTTTCTAGATGTACCAAGATAATGTTTGAATAGATAAACACAAGCTAATATGGGAACCAATTCTTCCAGATTAACCAAGGAATTATATAAAAGGTGAAATAAGTACATTCATTTTGCATTTTGTATGGAAGTCAAATATTTCTTTGATTACCTTTTGTTTCTATTTTGGCAAATTACATGTTTTTCAAATTCAGCACTTCTGACATAACGTACTAAGGGTCTTTCAAGCTTTAAAACCATTATTTAAACATTATATATTAACTCATATTTGCCCTTTCTAAAGAGACATGAATTTATTCATTTCTAAGGCATAATGTGCCTTTAAACAAATTTATATGTTTGTATATTTTTTAATAGCGAATTAACAAACAAGCCACAAAAACACGAACATTCAGTAATTATTCATTGTAGACGCTTCGGCTATATGCCTCCATCAGTGCGAAACATAACAACAACAACAACAACAACAACAACAACAACAACAACAACAACAACAATAATAATAATAATAATAATAATAATAATAATAATAATAAAAAAATACACACACAGTGAATGGTACATGCAATGTCACGTCTACGTGATTTAAAACCCTACTGCATTTTATTTTATGTAGCGGACCATTTAATTTTAATTTTATTTTGTATACGTAAATATTCTATGTTACATGTAAACATACAATTCTTTCAAAACCGAAACCATATTATTGAAACAATTTAAAGTGACATTATGCCCATCCAAGGGTATATAGTGAGTGGACGGGTGAAGATCAAAATAAGTTTTCATTTTGCAATAATTCCATTTAATTTGATAATTAAGTTTGCATAAACAATAAATAACGCAAAGATTCAAACGAAATTTCTGTAAATATCCATAAAAATTTAACTATAACGCTTAGTTTATAAAAAGAGTGGGGCAGTCTTTTTAAATTTTAGGCAGATATATAATTTTATCCTAAGCATTTTCGAATATCAACTGTTGGTCAAACACCATATTGAAATATTGATTCTTTTGAAATATAAAGTCAATTCAGCTCAACTTGACTTTGATAATATGAGCATAATGGCACTTTAGTTTTACCTTTTATAAACTTATTATCAGAGCATTTCATTAGATACAGTATAACTCTATGTTCCTTATAGGCACTTTATGACTCAGATTACTTCTTAAGAAAGGGCAAATATAAATTTTATAACGTTTAAATAATGGTTTTAGAGCATGTTAGCTTCTTTTTACGTGAAGAAAGTAGCGCTGACTGAAATATATAGTTTGCCAATAAAGTAGCAAAATGTAAACACATTAGTATTTTGACTTCCATACAAAATGCTAAATCATAATAAGTGTACTCATTGCCAAAAAAGAAACAGAAGAAAAAGGTGGCTCGAGTAATTCATCAATGAGCAACTTTTTTTTTATTTAAAATTATTAAAGTACATCAAAAATAATTAGCCATTCACTCAAAAGAGAAACAGAATGCGAAATTAAAATTACAGAGAGATTTCTCTTTACAATAATCATTTTTAAAGTCAAAATATCTTTATATTTCATCAGTTCACAAAAGTGACAACATGATACATTCCAAAAATTAAGAAAACATTAATTATGGGTAGAAAATAGTACAAAGCAGGCTAGCAAAGATCGGATTTTAGAAAAGTGAGGATCCTTTCATAAAGAAAAGAAAAGTTAATTTTACGTTTCTTCTTTTGTATAGAATTTCAAGCCTAATGTTATTTCCGAGAAAGTGTGAAGATATAATTATATTCAAATAAGAAAAATTGATTGAAAATTGATAAAATAAAAAAGCTCAGAGGCGGAGAAAAGTTTATTGATACGAAATTATTTCCAACGGGGAAGTGGTGGCCTAGTGGTTTAGGTCCGCCACTCAATCCAGTGATCATGGGTTTGAGCCCTACTTGGGTCACGACCATGTTTCTTTATTTGACACCAGCACTGGTAAGTTCTAGGAAGCGGACTCGAAAGTGATTAATATAAGTTGCAAGAACTTGTTTCACAATCGAGCTTGAATAAATATGTTTAAACTAAATTAAAAAATATGATAAACAAGATCATCAAGGAAATGCGGCGTTCAATGAACGCAGCCCCCACCCGACCCAGTAACAAGAGCCAGTGGCAAGGAGCCCAGGAGGACCCCAAACAAAAACAGGAAATGGCATAAGGTAGAGTACGGGCAGGCAAACCACTACCTACGAATAAATAATAAGTAACTGATAAGGAACTAAAAGAAAACAAATGGATGAGTGAATATTAGGCCCATAAAATCAAAAGGCACGGGGGAAGGGAACATGAGACCCGGGAGGGAGGGGGAATAAATAGAATAAATAAAAACTAGGGGCAAATGGGAAGATACTTACCGTTGACGAGAAAACAACAAGAGACACAAAAGTGTCACCAAAACAGTATAAAACAACATAGACAAACATCTGAGGAACACAGAGGGGCGTCGCCTTTGAACGGTCAGCAACATAAATACTGCTGGGGAGTTTAAACCGGTTAATGGTGCACTAAACCTCATACTTAGCCCCACCATGTTCCTATAAACGAGACAGTGTAAATAAAATGAATCCCCGCCAAGTGAAATTCTAACAGTTGTCATGGTTTCAAAAGGTGAAATAAGTAAAACATCGAAATGCTCATATAGAAACATACAAAAGAAAACCCAATGACCATAACAAAAGTACTCAATGTCTTAAAGGAAGACAGAGCAACAAGAAGATCACCTACAAGGGCCCGACGAAGCAAGACAGAAGACGAACATTAAGGCAATTCAGTAAAAGTAAACTATTATTTAAAGATAATTCAGATATACAATGTATAGAAAATTTACCTTTAAATGTGCTATTCGCTACTCCTCGGTTATCATGTACTGAGACTTCTACCATTTTGTAGGTATTTTGTCTCAAGGCTCGTTCCCGATGGAACCGATCACCCTAGGGTTGGGACTACCCTATCCACTATCTAACCCAATGATAGATTCTATTATTCTGTTTGTTACGTCACAATCAATAAATGCGCCGTCCAATCATAATGCAGCATTATTGGACGTCATGACGTCCAATCTCCTACGCAGTGATCTCCCCTTATCAGTACAGAGATAATTACAATTCTGCCAAGGGAGGTAATCACTGTGAGGAGTTTGCATGACGTCTTGTTCCGCAACAGACGTTATTTTGTCAAACGTTGAAGAAGTATATTCTAAATGGTATTTAAAATAAATAAACAAGAATTTTATCATGTCGTTTAGAGAAAATGATAAACAGACGTAAAAAACGTGATAAATAGAACATAACAGAACAGAACAGATATTTTATTTTTGACTTGTACGATTATACATCGTCATACATAAATAAACAATTTTACAATACATACTAACATAAATCACAAGTGTCTCTTTCAAATATATATAGAGGATGAATTATTAATATATTAAGTTGTATCTACTATATCTAAGGTATTTCTATATGAGACATCGCATCTGTTACATACAAGGATAAATTTAAAAGTATACTTATATTGTTTGATTTCAGCATATCGCATACTAGGTCTAGTATAAAAGTATATTTATATATATATATTTTTCTTATATCGTTATAACAAGGATAGATTAGAATGAAATGGTAGTCATCTTCAACGTCATGTAGATTACAATTCAATACAAAACAATATCTTTCACTTCTAACAGTTCTATTCATATGATATTTACCAGTTTGCACATGTAATGAATGCGAAGATATTCTAATTCTTGTAAGATACTTCCTCAAAGTATTAGGTATTATATCGAGATAATTTTCATATACAAAAGAATCTTTAACATGATTATATAGATACAAAACAGGACTGCTCTCTTTACCAGAAAGCCAACTTTGTAAAAAAAACAACAATCAATTACCCTTTGATTTAAATATCGGTAAAAATATTTTTACTATTTACGGAATCTGGAAAATCCCAAATATCATTAAAACCATGATTACATAACAACAATTTAAGATTTGATAACCAATTATTCTTACCATTATTACAGTCTTCAAGAGCAGTGTTATATACCTTATTAAGAATGATATTATCTATCTCAAGCAGTTTAAAGCAAAATCTTAAAATCTTGACATATCTTGAAATATATAAAGGATAACGTGATAGTTCACCATACACAGCAACATTACATGAATTAACTTTTACATTTAATATCTTTTTACAAAATTTAAGACGAAGTCTTTCAATTCCCTTCGATTAAGTAAAACCCCAGATTTCGGCAGCGTAATTCAAAATGGAACAGACAAATAGAATACGTACTTTCACAAGAATAACATGGACTGAGACAAAAAAAACTGTTTTGTTTGTAGATTGTAGTTCTTGATATCTTCTTTACTTTTAAAGGATTTAAAACACCTCGTATGCGCCAACATATGCATATGAGTTTAATATTTCAAAAAATTAAACTTAATAAAGTTAAATAATAGGCTCAATATCATAATCCTTACATGATTCTATTTCCATGTTTCCTAAGATACGATATGCAAGTAACCTAAGATACGATATGCAAGTCAACCAGTTTTAGTTCGGCCGAGTATCTTTTTAAAAAGGTACTTCTTGTTGTTTTTATTTCTCTTTTTGTTGTTGTTGTTGTTGTTTTTGTGGGGTTTTTTTCTGCCGAGCTTGATAAACTTTATAATATCAGAAAAATGTCTGGTTTATTTATCACGTTTTCAATTTTAATATGCGTTTCTCTCTTTAAATTTCAAATGAAACGAAAATCTGTAAAGAACCTTTCGATTTAATATTGCGTAATATCTGAAAGAAATAGGCCAGTAGTTTTAGCCAAATGTAAAATTTAAAAAAAAAACACAAAAAAGAAGAAAAAAAACAAGATTCTATTCGATTCAAAGTTTATTAGTTAAATGTATTACGTAAAAGGTAAAAAAATATTTCATTTTCTTCATTCTACATGTACTGTTTTTCAATATATGTATTGATTATGTGTCGGTGACAGTTAAATTTATCAGGCATGCATTAATGTAATGACATGGTAAACATCAAAGAACATGTTTTCATAAAAACAATGTTACATTGTCCTTTGAAAATACAGAAAAATGCATATACAGTACTGTATAAATTTTACAGGTAAATAAAGAAATTTACAAATAAATAAAAAAAATCTAAAGTAGGATAAATCTAAACAAAAAATACTAAAATAAACTAAAGTTGCAATTTGTATGGAAACATGCGAGTTTTTATTATTAATTATTTTATTATTTTATAATGATTCTATTTATTCTATTGAGATCTAGTTATAATTTAATTTATATCTAAAGAATGCCGTTAAAGCAGTAAGTTTACACTGTATCGCTATATTGTATAAAAATAAAGGGAGGTAATAGAAATGTAAAGACGCCTATAAATAATGTAAATTTACCAACAAAACATTGAATTAAAAATACTATACAGATAAAATATATAATTCTATATCACAATTTTAATTTTTAATAATATATTTTTATTTTTAAATTTTTAATCGTTTATTGGGGTTTATATTTTTCTCACTTTTTAGAAGTTTTTAAGCGCATGGGGTTTTTGTGACTGCGCGGAAATGGATGTGGTCTATCCAATTGCTGGTGAAACCCCTTTTTGGTTTTTGTCATGAAGCCTCATTTAAAACAAACGTTTTTGGAAAAAAATAAAAATTATATAAAAAATTTTAAACTGTACCGATTACGAGCATGCCAGTCGCATGACACTATGTATAGATCTATCAATTTATTATTCATTTTTTGCTGGGGCTTTACGATAATTTAAATCCCGGATATAAGATCTGCTGGTTATAGCATATGGGGCAAGATTACATAAGATCTGTTACATAAATATTTGGTAACAGAGACTTAAATTAATTGTTTTATCATTTTGGTAACATTTGAATTCGAGATTTTATTCATCATAAACAAACAATAAGTTCACTATGATACATAATCAGAGACTTAGCTCCTTGACATAAGTATGATACATACCTATACTCAGCGTCATCGCTTATTTCACGGTAATGGCATATTTTTTAAAACTGGTCAGAATTGACGTAATTTATTCATACGCCTAAACAACAAAGTTTTTGTACAAAATATTTTAAATATCTAGATTTTTACGTAAAAAGAACAACATTTTGTCCCATTTCTACCAAAAGACAGAATAGTTCGTTAAAAGATGTGCGCGCGTCTGAAACAATCATCATTTTCTAAATATTCTTCTGTTGGTGAAAAAGTTTACTTTGAGCAAGAATTTATATATATACATTTAGATCTAAATTTTAACTGAAACACGTAAAAAACTAGAATGTAATACCATATTTATCGCGTTTCAAATGACGACAAATGTTTTCAAAGTGGCAGACCTATGGTCTACATCTGGCCCATTAAATCTGATTTTAATAGAATATGTTGTTGTTTCCTGGTGTCATACAGCAGAAGATAAATTTACAAATTATGACATTTTTTTGTCTCCTGAGTCCATTGTTTTCATTCTTGTTTCAAAGCATTATGCTTAGTACAGTGAACTAAGAGGGGCACAGTATAAGTTATTTGGCATGAGTTTTGCTTTTAATATATATTTAGGGTCTTTCAAGAGTATAAAGACCCAGCTATCAGGTTTTCAAAGCATAAGAATTTTGTGAAATAAGGGAGGCAACTCGTCTAGTCTTATGAAAAATAAATATCGCGGGAAAATCTGAGGCACTGGATGCTTGACACGATGACTTCAGGCGTCGATAAACAAAAGAGGATGAAAGTGAATTCGTTATATTCGGAGTGAAAAGATTGATACAGGAATAACCAGGTAATACTTTTAATGTTTTATAATGGGGTTTTTATGTTTATTTATCTATTCAAGTTTTATTAAAAGTCTTTGTATGTGGAGAAATCCTCAGATTTAATACTTTGAATATGTTTGAAAACTTTTCATTAATCGGGATCACCGAACCGCTTATTGAAACGAAAAGTTTTAATTATGGATGGTGTGTTAGTAATAACTATTTTCAGTTATTAATTGTAAAAAATATAATAAGATGTACCGATGTTTTGACAAAAAAGGTAATGTGTTGATTGGCCACTGTGTATGAATTATGCTTTTGTGGTAAGCATTGAAATTATTTAACCAATTTATCTTTATGAAAGTTTATCAGTGTTTATGTAAAAATAATTTATACAACTATAATTTCTTTAATAACTATTAACAGGAATATTATTATGCACTTGTCAGTTGTAATCCGGTCCCAATATAGTCCTCAAGACGTTGCTTTCAGGGCTTCCGTTAATTGAAGTTTAGGAGTTATTTACTCTTTGATTTTGGCTTGTGACTTCCAAAATCTTATACTTTCCTTCTTTACCTATAATTATAATTAGCCTATATAATGTGATTTCCAATATCAGAGATTTTGCAGTCCCTGACTTCCAAATTTTGAAACTTAATGGGAGCCCTGTGCTTTGAGATATTTTAACTTCTTGGCTATAAAAAGCCTGTAAAGTCTAAAAGTAATATATACCCAATAGTGCCAGACAGGCTTTTGGATATTTAAACTAGTGGTATAAAGTCAGTCCTGCCCTTGGACTGTCTAAAGGCTGAATTCCCCTTTAGTAAAAGCCCCTCATCCAAACACCTGTCCATTCGGACATATTACTACAAGGCTAGGTTACCTATTTTTATGCCAAATAGAATAGACAAAGAGGCTGAGTGGTGTAATGTATGGGTAGAGCATTGGATTCCTAATCCTGTAGTTGTAGGTTAAAATTCCACTTTTGATGGTATTCTCTTCAGACTTCGACAATATAACATTTGTGTGAGTACTGGTTATAGCTTGATTTTTAAGTGCCATCCAGTCATTTATAATTGAAAATTAATTGTTGGATTGTAACATGTACATATAGGAACTGAAATCTTAACCCCTGCATTGCCCTGGTAGTGGGCGGACAGGCAGAAGGAAAAAAAACTGGGCCCATTTCCCCACTGTTACATG